AAAAGTGCAAAAACTATCCTGACCAGCTGTACTGCTGCAGAATAAGGTGTTAATTTAAGAATTCAGCAGACATTATTACTAGTCTAGTGCTGATTGCCCTTCCAGTTAAAACATGCGTAATGGAACATTCTAGTTCAATCCTGTGCTAACAACTGCCCAAAAATATCTTCACTCAGCAGTTGGCACTCACAGATAATGCACTCACAGGGGAATTCCTAATATGAAACCCTCCCCCTTACACACAGAGTCTGACTTTCACCATCAGTATGTTAGGCTTCTCATATAAAAGCAAAACAAAATTCAAAAATATATTGTCCCACCTCTAGGTACATGCTAGAGAAATGTAAACATGGCTACCTACAATTTATACATGAATGTTCAAGATCACTTTCTGCTTTAGACAAAAAGGAAGCAACTTTAAATTGCTTTAAATAAAATAAGGGGAGGGGTATGTGCAAGAGAGGGCTTCATAGTTAAGAGCGTGTACCAGGCTTCCAGAAGACCAAGTTCAAATCCCAGCACCCACGTCTGGCAGTTCACATGCAACACTGCTCACATCTCAACCCCAGGAAATTCAACATCTCTGCCTCCTCAGCCAGGCCCATACCCCACATAGAGATACACATAATTTAAAATAATCTTTAAAATAAGCCACATAAGTTAGATATTGCGATATGAACCTATATTATCTAGCTACTTGGGGAAGATGAAATATGAGGTTCACCCGATGTAAGCTTAAGACATTGTTCAGCCAGGCATGGTGGCTCACACCTTTAATCCCAGCACTCAGGAGACAGAGGGAGAGGCAGGTGATCTCTGTGAATTTGGAGCCAGCCAAGTCTACTGAGTTCCAGGGCAGCCGGGGCTACAAGGAAAAACCCTATCTTGAAACCCCTCTTTCAAAAAAAGATGAGGAGGAGGAAAAGGGAAGAGAAGGAAGAAGAGAAAAAACGATAAAGATTAAAAAATGGTTCCTGCCAAGCATGGTGGCGTACGCCTACAATCCTAACAACCAAACTGTGGCTAATGTATCAAAACTTCAAGCCTGGACTACAAAGAGATTTCTCTCAAAAACTAGCAGGAACAATACCTTTGCCAAGTGGTATGAGGGCTCTCAGAAGTGATGAAAATGCACATGGTTGCACAACTCTGAATGTAATTTACATATCATTAATTTACATGACTGAACAGTGTAGTAAAGTAATTATATCTCCATGAAGCTACTAAACAGTGAGTTGCTCCCAGCACAACTCAGAGGCTGAAGCACTACTGCCACCAATTTGAGGCCAGACCGGGCTACACGGTGAGTTCCAGACTAGCTTAACTACAGAGTGAGACTCTGTCTCATAAAATCAAAAACAATATATACATATGTGTGTGTATGCATACATATACACATGTATATACACATACACACACACATATATGTATGTATCAGTTACTACTGGGCTAGGAGTGTAGCTCAGCAGTAGAGCCTAAAAGCCTGAAAACCTTTATTCAAGCTGGGCACCACAAAAACACAAAGCAAACAACAAAAGTGCCTGGGGTGTAGGTTAGTGAGGGCTCTGCATGCAAATGTCAGTGGATCTGATCCCTAACATAAAAACCAACTCCTAAAATAGTATTCTTGAGCCAGATTTGGGTGGTATAGGCCTATAATCTCAGCATTTGGGAGGCTGAGACAGAAAGATCACAGTTCAAGACCAGACAAGGGATACAGGGAGAGCCTGCCTTAAAGTTCTTAGGGTGAGGTCTGGAGATGGCTCAGAGGTTAAGAGCACTTGCTGCTCTTGCAGAGGACCTGGGTATGGTTCCCAGCACCCACATGGTGGTTGACAACCACCCCTAACTCCTGTTCCAGGAGGTGTTCCCCGTCCTGATCTCTGCAGACACCATGTGTCCACAGGGTGCACATACACTCACACAGAACAAAATGAATACATCTAAAAAATTTTTTTTTTTAAATCTTGGTGATAATTTCATTTATTTGGAATGAGATAGGGCTCAAAATGATGTCTGAAAACTGAGAAAAGACAATGAAAATACTAAATATTTATTTCATAAGAAATATTTCATAAGAAAAATTGAAAAAAAAACCTGTTTTAGACAGTGTAGTAAGATGGCTCCAGCATAAATCAAGCCATTTGCTGCCAAGTCTAACCAACCCAGAACTGACATAGTAGAAGCAGAGAAGACCGCTACAAGTTATCCTCTGACAACTTCAGATCTATAAAACCCTGTCATTAAAAAAAAAGAAAATTTTTGCCAGGCTGTGATGGTATACACCTTTAATCCCAGCACTCTGGAGGCAGAGGCAAGAGGATTTTTCTGAGTCTGAGGAAAACCTGGTCTACACTGGTCTACAGTGCTAATTCAGGACAGCCAGAGCTACATAAAGAGACCCTGTGTCAAAAAAAAAAAGGAAGAAAGAAAGAAAGAAAGAAAGAAAGAAAGAAAGAAAGAAAAGAAAAAAGAAAAAAAAGAGGCCGGGCGGTCGTGGCACACGCCTTTAATCCCAGCGCTTGGGAGGCAGAGGCAGCCAGATTTCTGAGTTCGAAGCCAACCTGCTCTACAGAGTGAGTTCCAGGACAGCCAGGACTACACAAAGAAACCCTGTCTTGAAAACCCTTAAAAAAAAAAAAAGAAAAAAAAAAAGAAAGAAAAGAGAGCAGGGGTGTTTACAGTGTATTAATGAGCACTTTTTTCTTGTTTTTTTTTCCTTAAGGTTAAAGATATAATTTACTTTTAACATTTTTTATTGTTTTAATTACGTGTAGGTGGGTATATGCACATAAATGCAGTCCGTGCCCACAGAGGTCAGAGGTCGGAGAGCCCCCTGGAGCTGGGGTTATAGGCAGTTGTAAGCTGTCTGATGTGGGTGCAGGGAATCAAACTCAGGTCCTCAGGAAGAGCAGTGCATGCTCATAACCACTGAGCCATCTCTCCAGGGCCCCTCCCAAAGTTAAGACAGTCTCACTTTTTCCCCAGGACGGTCTCCCAGCCATCTTCCCGGCCTCCCCTATATTAAGTTTACAGAGTGCCCAGTGTTACCATTTCCTTTTACAAATTGAAGGTGTTTGGTAAAGGCAATGAGAGAATGGGAGAGGTTAATGGGGATGGGGTAAAAAAGACAAAAATATACTATATAACTATATAAATTTGTCAAATAATAATACTTTAAACAATGGTTAGATTTATTTGGCTAAATTCAATTTCCAGGGTACACTCCTGAACATAAGACACAGGCCACTTTAAGATAGGTGTGGTGGTAGTTCCCATCTGGAATCCTAGCACTAGGCAGACTAACTGTAGGTTCAAGGCCAGCCTGGACCACTGAGACTGTTTCAAAACAAAACAAGGGTTGACAAAAAGGTTCAGCAGGTAAAAGCAACTTGAGTTTAATTCCTAGAACCATGTAAAGATGGAAAGAGAAAACTGACTCCCAAAGTTGCCCTCTGGCCATGCATGGTGGCACAGGCCTTGGAAGGTGGAGGCAGGTGGATGTCTGTGAGTTTGAGACTATCCTGGTCTGGTCCATATAGGAAACTCTAGGACAACCAGGACTATATAGAGACCCTACCCTCCCCAAAATAAAACAAAGTTGCCTACTGCCCTACACACACGTGTATCCAAACATACAATTACACCCGCAATAATTAATATTTTTAATATTTTAAAGGGACAGTCATGGTTAAGTACTCCTGGATTTCTATACAGGGGAGGTAGAAAAAGTAGGATGTGAGTTCAAGGCCAATTTAGGATACAGGAGATCAAAAAACAAACCAAAATAAATGTTATTTTAAGGACTATGAACCGTCTGAAAGAAATTTTTTTCGAATAGTTTAGAATATACCTAACCATCCAGAGCCAGGAGATTTTATAGAAAAACTGCTTAAATATTTTCAATCCCCTGTTATAAACATCCAGGATACATTGATCCAACTGTGTATATGAAATATAAGTGGTTTACTACCCACATGCTTGCCCAACTTTTTGTGTGTTAAAACAAAATGGAAGAAAGGTATTTCAAGGGTGTGGCAACTCATTTAAGGTCACACAAGTTACGGCAGAGAGCACCAACAGTCTGGTTTATACCAAGTCTCCAAGGGGAATATTGGAAATTTTGCCAAAAAAATTTTTTTTAATATCAGGAAGAAGAGGGGCCTGTCAGCATGGTTCAAAACTTTTAAACACAGAGAGTAAAACAGACCTCTTAGATAAACACTTGTGCATGGGAATGGTGAATTACTTAACAGAGCTATCAATCAAAGCATGTGAATTTCTGGGCAGATCCCTTCAGTTTCTACCACTAAGTAAAATCCCCAACTTAGAAAGCCTAGGCTTCCTCCTTCACAGTAATATAAAGACAAGAAATGTGGGATCTCATGGGAATGTGAGGAGGGCTTTTAAAAAGGAAAAAAACAAAAACGAATTACTGTGAAAGGTGCCTTCATGGGGTAAGACCTAGTTGGTTTTGTTTGGTCTTGGGGGCGGGAGTGGAGAGGGGACGGGAATGGGTGTCAAAACGACAGTGCTAAGACTGAGAAACAAGCCTTAACACTGTGACAAGACACCACTAGCAAAGCTTATCTATAATCGTTCGAAGTGAATGGCACCACGCTTTCCTCCTCCAAGCAAGAATTCACGCTTCCTAGTCTAGACCCCCAAAACAGACCATGGTTCGCAAAGCCGACATCTGTGTGAAGAACAGAATGTAGAGCAAGGGTGAGTAAGTCCCAGCGCCTCAGGCAGCCACACAGACTGTCCAAAAGCCGCCCGGCAAGGGGGCACACTGGATAGGTCGGATAAGCCCCCAAATAACCCCTAGAAATTCCGAGATGCCTCAGCGGAGCACCTCAGTCTTCCTTCCCTCCCGCCGGTCTCTCCAGCGCCCTGGGCAGCCCGGTGGTCAGCTCGGTGGTCTCTAAGACCCCCTTTCTCAGCGGGTGGAAACCGCTCCGCCACCCACCAGGGCCTCCCCGGAATCCCACTCCCATCACCTGGCTCCGGCCTTGCCCCAGAAGGGACGAAGGAGACGGCGGTGGCAGCAGGTGCTTCCCACAAGGTACGGGAGCGGCGGTGGCTGCTTCGACCCGCGGACCTAATCTACCGCCGCCGCCATGTTGGTCGGTGAGGTCACCCTGGCGCGCTTCCGTCACGGCGGCGTGGGGGCGGGGCCTGGCCGTGGAGGTGGGGCCAGGCCGCAGCCGGATCCGTTAGCTGGAAACGAAGCAGGGTCACTGATGCCTGCTGGTCAGTTTGCGCAGGCGTGACCTGTGTGCAAAGCTGTCCTTTGCCTTTCTTTCCAAGAGCCACACAAATCCTAGATTCCTGGACTTCATAAAGTATCCTCACCAAGTCATTTCCGGTACTTGGTAGGGCAAAGGAAGATGAGGTAGACACTGCCCGCCTGCTCACCCCTGTGTGGGACAAGAAGCTGGTGGCATCTGAGATTCTCATTTCTGGAGACTTGTGCATTCCTAGAGTACTAAAGCCCTCGGGTTGACAGTCAGGACTGCACTTTGCTGCGCTGCCTGGTTTGGGTTCGCAGCCACTCGCGAGGAGATTGTCCTGAAAGTTAGAAAAGCAACTTAAAGTCAGGGTGAAATGACTAGGTAGAGACAACTCAGGACACAGGCACCATGGTGATACAGGGAATCTTATAGTAGTAATCCATTTTTACTCACACTGGTTAACAAGATGCCTGGACTATAGTTTGTGCTTATGTTTGTTTCTTGACTCCACGAAAGCATGTCCAACCTGTGGTCCAAGACAAACTGAATGCTTCCCACCAGAAAGGGAAAAAAAATAGGTTTACTTAAAACATGAAAGGTGTGTGTAACCAGATTACCTAGTTGTCCAGCAAGAACTTTTTAGATGAGGATCGTGTAAAAAGGTCAAGATATCTAGGCAAGATGAACACCCTGCATTAGCCAGCTTGTGTTTCAGCCTGTGTTCTTGAGATGAAATAACACGGTAACACAGGGACAACACAGAAGATTAGGAGTTAGAAGGCGGTTACAAGCAGTCAGATCAGAAATAATAAATGTGTCCAGCTGCTTGTACAGGCCTGTAATCCCAATACTCAGAAGGCTGAGGCAGGAGGATTACCATAAATTGGAGTCTGGCCTGGTCTCCAAAGCTATTTTCAGGCTGTCAAGGCTACATAGTGAATCCTATCTTTAAAAGAAAATAATAAAAATAATAAAAGATTGAATACAAAACTGACTGGGAGCCATCGAGATGACTCAGGTTGCAAAAGGCTGTTAGCCTAATGATATGATAGAAGAAAACCAACTAGCAAGTAGATTTCTCTGACCACACTGCCCAGGCCCACCTCCCATACACACAACATTTCAAAGCAAAACAATCAATACAAACTGATAGGAAGTGACTATGGCCAGTGGCTATGTTTGGAGGGTGATGAAAATATTTAAAATTCACAGTGATAATGGTAGCATAATTACAAATATCCTGAATTCCACTTAATTGTATGCTCTTGTTGTTTGGGGACAGTGTTCTATACTGACCTCAAACTTGCTGGGTTTCCTAGAATGACCTTGAATCTCTCATCCTGCCTCTGCCTCCTGAGTGCTTTGGTCACAGGCTAGTATGCCTGTGTTGCTGGGGATAGAACTCGGGCACACAATCTACAAACAAACTACAATCCTAACCCTTCTGAATGTTTCTTTTTTTTCATTTTATGTATATGGATGTTTCACACACATGTATGACTGTGTGCCGTGTGGGTACCTAGTGTCAGAAAAGATCAGAAGAGGGGGTTTGATCACCTGGAACTGGAGTTACCAATGTTCATGAGCTGCCAAGTGGGCACTGAGACTCAAACCCTTAGAGTCCTTAGAAAGAGCAGGACTTGGAAGTGGGCCGGAAGATCACAAGTTCAACATCATCTGCAACTACATACAAGTTTTAAGCCAGCCTAGACTACTGAGACCTGGCTTGATTAGAAGTGGGTTCGTCTGTTTGTCTGACTTGTTTCTAGTCTACCAGCTTGGGTACAGGTAAGAAAATGAGCATGTAGTCACCTTTTGTGACTAACCTGACAGGAATTTAGGCCAGCAGTTTGTGATGAAGACAATAAGGTTACACAGAATAGACTTCTTTCTTAAAATTCATCTGAAATTTTGTTTTAAATAGTTTCTCTACAAGACTGAAGATAATATCAAAGGATACTGGATTTAGGAAACCATGAATTGGTTAATACTTGCATGTTTAGTATGCCCTTAGATTCAAAACAAATCAAAACACTTTTTTGAGATACTCTTTATTTATTTAAACCAAGCTGTCACAGAACCTTCCAAATCACTGGCTCCGCTTGTCCCAAGTGTCAGGATTATAAGTGTATACACCTGTTCTGTACTGCCTCTCGAATGATCTGTGGCAGCTCTGCTTTCAGTCTCAAAGGAGTAAGTTTATTAAGTAGATAACAAGGGAATAAATAGCAAGTAGCAGATAGATATTAAAACGTCATTGTATCAGTAGTTTATAGCATCCATCAAGGGACAGCTGAGGTAACATGATTGAGAAAGTAAACAAAGGTAAAGTCATCAAATCAAGACTCACAAGCATCCAGCAGGAACTGACTGGGGAAGTCGAGGCAGTCAGCTGGGATTCCCAGTTGAGACTTCTCTTCATAGATGAGCTGCCCATGGCTGAACTTCCAGCCCCCTGTACCTACTGCAGGTGATTTAAATGATGGGAAAAATAACATTAACATCCGTTGGAAATGGTTTACCTTCCAGCTGTTCCTAGGGACATGATGTTTTACTGAGCGCTCCCTTCCATGTCACAGAGTTAGGGGGCCAGCCTGCTGAAGAAAAGGCTATTTTGGAGAACACCTGCAGTAAGCATGCTGTATTCTGAGAGGAGGGCCCTCTTTATTTCCAGAGCCCCCTCTCAACAAGCTTATGTAGCACATGGCAATTCACCAATCTAATGCCGTTTCAGTCACCACACCTGAATTATGTAGACTTCTCATGTCACTGTTCTCTGAACAATCTAACACAAAAAGCACTTGCCTAGCACTTACATTGTAATTGGAATTAAATGTAGAGATTGTTGAAGGCACTCGGGAGGGTGTGCAGGATGTAGATTATATGTAAATACCTTGCTGTCACATAAAGCCCCTCAACATCCATGTATTCTGGTATTTGACAGGGATCCTGGAAGCAGTCTTCATAGATACCAAGGGAGGGCTGTACTAAAAACGTTTCCTAACTCCAGAGACTATCTCTGCCAAGGTACCTCACCCTTACCTGACAAGACTTGGCCTGCTCTCTGGTGAATCAGCAGATGACTGCCCAACTAGTTTCTATGCCTTAACACTGGGGAGGAGGCTGTGCAAAGGGGACAGATAGCAAATCTGCAATTCAATTTAATTTTATGTAGCCCAGGTGCCTGGAACTCATCATCGTCTTACTTCAATTTTCCTAGTGCCAAGATTAGCATGTGCTACCATGCCTTTTTTTTGTTTGTTTGTTTAAGTTTGTTAAGTCTCTCAGTGTAACCTGGAACTCTAAGTAGCTCAGGTTGGATTTGAACTTAAGGTCTTCCTGCCTCAGCGTTCTCAATGGTGAGATTACAGGTGAATACCACCATGCCTGGCTATTTATTTAGGGTAGGTCCCCTGAAGCACAGACTGGTCTTGAATTTACTATGGTATGTGGCTGAGAGTGACTCCACTCCCAAGTGCTAGGATTACAGGTGTGGGATACAATCCCTGACTTAATTTACTTTTAAAATAAAGAGGCAAGTGTTAGCTCTCAGGAAGCGCATGTGTCCAGAAATGAGAGTCTTGACTCAGCCCAGGCTAGGACTGTAAACATGTTTCTGGCCTTAAAATAAAGCCGGAGTTCCTCAGGAACTTATGAAAGAGGTTTCCAATCTGCCAAAGGGGGTTATTTCCCATGTCTCTGGTAGAAGGGCCCTGTGCCTCTCCATTGACATATTCCTATGGTTGTTATCAAAGCCCATGCTGACCTCCAGGCCTCTAAATCTCCATGCAAACTTGTATTACATCTTAAAGTCCACGCTAACAAACATCCTGGTCCTTTTGCCCCCTCCTAAGTTCCCAAGTTGCTCTAGTTCACTGCCAGCTGCTCATCCTCCTGTTAACTGCCATGATTTTTCCATGCCTGCTTCCCTAGCCCTGGCCATATTGTCTGATTCTTTCTCTCTCAGCTCTGGACTCTCCCAGATGTTCTTACCCGTAGTCATGGAATAGCCACTCTCAGTGGTTTCTTTACTGTCCCTTGCTTACAGTGAGCACAGTTATATGTGCAGGAAGAACACTTCAGCCAGAAATTCAGAGGCAGAAAGATCTCCTCTTTGAACATAGAAATAAGCAAGAACACTTGGACTGGCAAGATAGCTCAGACAGAAAAAACTTTTGCCACCAAGCTTGATAACCCGTTAGTCTCAGCAAGAGATTATCTGTGCATAGCAGGCACGGATCATGAGACAGGTTTCTGACAGCTTGAACCTGTTCTGTTCATTAAAACAAGGAACTTTTTAAAAGGCACAAGTTTGCAAGCAACTAGGATTTGTTAAACAATCTGAGTTCCTGCTCAAAGGCAACAGAGGTCTGCTTTGAGGCTAACCACAGCCACCCATTTCAGAATAGCTTCTACAATCTTGAGTTCAAGGCCAACCTGAGCTATACAGAGAAATCTTGTCACAAATTAACAGAATAATTTAGAATCCACATTTTAGATAATTGTATAGAATGTTTGGCCATCCAAAACCAAGCATTTTCTTTTGTCACAGTTTCTTAAAACTCTTTTCAGTGTGTGTGTGTATGTGTGTGTTTGTGTGTGTATGTTTATCTAGTTATTTAATGTGTGGCAGTGACACTGCCTGTACACCATGGTTTGCATGTGGAGTTCAGAGATAAACTTTCAGGACTTGTCTCTCTCTTCCCACCATGTGGGTCCCAGGGGAAAAAAACTCATTCTTCATCAAAATAAGGTATCTGCTTAACCATACAGAGATGAACCCACACAGGTGTTTCCCTTGATAAAGCATAAGAATTTACCTTTATGCTATGCCCTACCATGCCTTTAATCCCAAGTCTAGGGAGGCAGAGGCAGGCGG